TTTACTTACTTATTTAAATAATTTTTTTGATTCAGGTCGCCGCTAAATTTTTTTTATACTATTTTTAAATATGTTTTAGAATAATCTATAAGTTTTTCATAATTTTTTTATTACATATATATATAAATTGTAAAAATAGGTGTAAGCCTTAAAACTGAACACTAATTCGTGTGCAGATGGAAGAAATATAGAATATATAAAAATTCACACACAAATAATTAAGCTCAAAAACCTGAGAAGTGACCGTTACGAAATTTTATTTATATTGTATCACATATCGATCGTTAATTACTTTTTAGTTACTAATTTATTATAAGTTATTAATTTATTATAAGTTATTAAGTTATTATATTAAGTTATTATATTAAAAAGTTTATTGTTATAAATGTATAAATCTTTCAAAAGCCAGATTAATCAACTCAACACAAAGAGAATTTGATAAAATTATAAATTATAATCGTAATACGCTAATGCTAAAATTAACTGCTACTTTGTAATTAAAATCTACCAAGTTTTTTTACGATCAGAATATGTACCTGGTACGAGTACTTGTACTCATGATACGAAACGTGACTATTGTAAAAACCAAGGAAGGAATCAAAACCCCGATGTAAGGGAGTATGCTGAGGTGTATGGTACCCCACGTGCCACTTTCCGATCAACTTTGTCGTATATCCCAACCCCCGTAGATGTTCCGGCAAAATCTTTATGTTGAGAGGTAGTCCTCTAGGCTCACCACCTTGTATATCTTCTCCCTGCATACCTATAACAAAATTCGGCTATATACAAGGAAAAAAAATAGAAGAATCTCGGATGCCGTGTTAATTTACGAATGTGTGACGTCATTACACATATCATTGCTTTATTATCATCTGCGCACGTTAAATTATCATAGTATTTTTTCTTGTCTCTCAAACGCAGACAGCTCGTGCGTGTCATAAAATTACGCAGTATGAAAAAAAAAAAAAAAACAAAAACAAAAAGCAATCAAGCCAGCTCAGCTAGTAAAAAACAAGCTGATAGTAAAATCTATTAAAAACTTTGAAAGACATATAAATGAAACGTAAGACACGATGAATAATACATACCCATACGTATTGGATATTTCCCGGTAAAAAAGGCGGTTCTGGAAGGTGTGCTGGATTGTAAAACGTAATGTCTATTT